TCTGCCCTGTCTGCTATGGGTGTGGTCTGCGCCACACCAGGGTGTGGAAGAGTCTGTCCTGTCTGCCATGGATATGGTCTGCGCCCCACCAGGGTATGGTAGACTCGTTTTAGAATTCTAATCTGTTTGGGATTGTGTTTTGTTATAAATAAAAACACGTCCCTTTAGGGTTTAAGAGAGAAAAAGAGCACGAAAAAAGAGGGTTTTGAGGGCTCTTTGAGGTTAGAAATCTTAGGGAGAGAGAGAGGCCAATTGCAAGCATTGTAATCTTCTTCAAGTAATCAAACAATTGTGTGGTGTGGCTCCCGAGGACATAGGCATGTTGCCGAATCTCGTTAAATCTGGTGTGTTCTTTCTTTTTTACTTTCCTACAAGTTTTTATCTTTGATTTGTGATGAATTTCTTTCTTGCTCAACTCTCAAACACAAGATCCGGAAGGGTACAGATTTGATTTGATTATTTCGAATCCCCAACAGTGCCATGTTGCTCTGACCCATTTTCTAGCTGGCTTTTCTCTCACCAAATAATTAATAGAGTTATAAAGATATTAAATCATTAGGATCACAATAGCAACTATTTTTTGCAACTCTTAATTAATAGAAATGTTAAAAGAACGAAGGAGACAGTTGAGGAGAGGAAAAGGTTAAATGAATGCTTTGCTATACAAATTCTGGACTTAATAGTGTCACATCTAAGCTAAGTATCTGAACCAGTAAAAGTATTGAAAGCATTTCTTTGATTAAATCTAGTAAACAATGACGCCTTAACCACTAATTATATTGTATAGCTGTAGGAAGTGACAGAGTACCTTCCATAGATTTTCTATGATTTGATATCCAAAATGTCATTGCCTCATGCATTGTTCGTTTCTAGTTTCTCGTACTTAAATAAGAACCAAAACAATGAATTATTCAGAAGCCATTTCTGTACACAGATATAATACAATTTAAGAGAGTGGTGTGCGGTCCAAAATCCATGATTAGTATTGATAATGCCTTCCATAAATAGGAAGCGGGTACCACTTACATTATAAAAAATAACAATTTTGCTGTTCGTAGTAAGACACAAACTAGAGAACGAGGTTTTATCATTCTCTAGAGAACCAAAAGTTACAGGCAAACTGAAAGACACTAAATTATGAACTGATCATATTTTGGGGGATAAATCATAAACTGATTATGGCAGCCGGAAGGTGTACAGTTAAACAAAAAACTGACTGGACAATTTCAGGTTGATTCATGCCTTAAATACGAAACGAAAAATTGTGGATGAAGAGTTAAAAGACATAAATGAATCAAATTAGTCCTATACAGCTGATAGAGAAGCCTCACCATCCAAATCCGGGTGCATATGAGTATATGATATAAACCATTTACCATCCTGGAGACAGCCCGTCTATCAAATGTGACTTTCAATCTCTTTGGTTCTCAGCCAACAAAAATGCGCTCGATGTCAAGAAACTTGAGTAGTAGGGTTGGTACCATATCCAATTTAAAATTTTCACTAAATCAAGCTTCAGTTTGGATAAATAACATTCTTACAACTCACTCGAAAGATCAATGATCATATATGACATACATAGAATGTTAGGATTGTTTTGCAGCCATTCAGTTTTAAGTGTGAAAGCTCAACAGATTCGATGTTTTCTCATCTTAAAAAGAATAGTTATAGGGATGTATTGAAACATGTTTGATGTCCTTAGTAGGATATCTTGTTTAATTTGACACTACATATGTTAGTAAGGGTTAGGATTCTTGTGGAGCGCACATGACATCATATTTGGATGCGCATGTTGTGACATTTACCTCGGATGTGACTTCTATAAACTACAAAGTATTAAGCCCAGACGTTATTTTCATTAGCCACTTGTTTTTACATTTGGCCTGGTTTGGAAAAACATAAGATGGGATTAGCTCCACTTCAGAAGAAACATATATAATAGATTAATATATGGTTATTCATACCTTGGGTACGTATACAATTCAAATAGGATTAAATTCTTCTGGGTCAATAGGGATTAAATAGACTAGCATATATAGCTTTTTCATCGCGACATAAAGGTACACAATAAAACATTCAGTTAAACCATCCTGTACCACTTCGATCTTTCTGGTTATGGAAACAGGTTAACATTTCAGTACCAAATATATCAATGAATACTCCAACAAGAGAACTCAACACACAACATATATCATACTACACATGTATGACCTCAGTACTCAAAGGGAAAAAACTAGGGGAAAAAACGACGAAAATTAAGAAAAGCAGAGGAGAACAACAGAACTAAACCCCCAGATCATTTAGCTGTGCAGATAAACTCTCGCTGGATGCACAAATCTCTACTTAATTGGACTCTGAGAAAGAATTTGATTTGCCGAGTTACTGCCTCCACCTCAGGGTTTCTCTTTCTGAAAACTAGATCATATGTAAGTGGCCAAGTAATGTAAACACAAGATGCCAATGGAAAATGAAATAGAGTACCAAATCCTACCTTTATCAGAGTAAAAAACCAGATGATCCACTCTTCATTACCGAAACCGCAGAAAGGACAATCAGGATATTTGCAAACCTCTTCTCATAAGACAAGGAAGCACCAATTTACATATGCAATTTCTTCTAAGTTGCATCTCAACAGAAAACCTAATAAATATCATCAATTCTGATTTCTAACCAGAAGAATAAAGCCTAAGCCTTATAACACTTCAAGATCTATACTACAGAGACCACTTTGAATTCATACTGTTTGCATCTGAAACAAATGTTTAAATTTGCTTCATGTCATTTCTCTGCCTACACTACTAGAGTAGTGTATATCAATTCACCTGCAACATAGACAAAAATATATGGGTGCATGCTAAAGATAGGACTTCAGACGGTTTACCATAGTCAAATACGGGTATGGACACGATCAGTAATACAGTGCAGTGTGCATATACTGGAGATCCAAAAATCCAATATAAACATCACCACTAATAGCTATTCATACACGAAGAACACTAGAATGTTTAATTGAAAAACTATAGCCATGTGTTTAAAGAAACTCCTTAGATTATAGAACGCGTAGGTACACAAATGGTGAATATCCTTTAGACAATTTAATACAGAAGTACCAATATGGTATAAATGCATCTATTGATCAAATAGAGTTGCCAGTCCTTCACTCGTGCACTGAATTTATAAAAGACATAGAACTACAATACATCTATATATCATAATTTTTCGAACTATCTAACAAGCATCCACCATTATCCGAGTACCGTTGTGCACGTGGCTTCTACAAAACATCCTTGATTCCCTACAGAATAGTCTTCTTCTTCTATGACTGAAATCACTTTTCAAATATCATAGGCATCAATTTCTATATCAAAGTTTTCTTAGAGTGCAGGTCGCTTCTGTGCCTTCCCTGTAATAAAAGCAAATAATCTAATGCTACGCATAGCCAAAGGGAAGGCTTCACCAAATATAATTGTTATCTTACTTCTATTATCTTGTGAATTAATATATGAACTATCTTGTTCTCTAGATTTGGCTAAATATAAAATGCACTTGCGATGTTTCGGTGAGACATTGTGTAGGCATCTTAATATATACTTCTAATAATTTAGTTCAAGCAATCTTAACTGTCCGTGATGATGACTTAATATCCCTCTAATGAAATACATCATTTCTTTGGTTCTATTAGGAACAAAAATTCATTGATAACTAAACAAATCCGGGAAAGGTGTTGAGCTTTTCTTACTGTCAAGATACCATGTACAATTACATAAAACTAGAAACCAGTATCTTTATTGTATTACTGTCCCCATAATGTCGATGATCAGAATAGATATGAATAAATATTTGCGATCTAGATCCAACTAGATCAAATAAATTACAAATAATTGACAAAACAAATCACCCACTCTTAGAATGGATGAGCGTAGTTAAGCAGACTAAGAATACACAATTATTAGATATCCTTGATTCTATAAGATACCAGAAACTACATACTTCCAGCCTTCCACCTTCTGAAACATAGGAAAAAGTGTAAGGAGAAAAATTAGAAAGAACAGATGATTTCTATGTAATGTTCTAAATTTAGCAGGACAATTACACAGTAAACTACAAAAACAAAAATCCAAGTTAAGATGTTTGCAGTAATCTAGGCATTGGCGAGCCTGAGCCATTGGATGAGAGAAGTTAAAGCTTTTGAATCCAATTGATTAGCTGCTCCTTATGCTATTGGCAATTTAAGCTTTTAACTGAACTGAGAGTGCCATCCCGGACGAGGGCCAATTCAAACTCTTCTAGAACCTTCACAATCTGCCAAAACTCGGGTCTCTTTTATCAGCCTATTCGCATATATGAAAATATTTGCCTCTGTCTTATGAAGACATCGACATCATACAACTAAAAGAATGAAAAAAATAACTTGTATAACAGGTAACATTGTGGTAACTAGGTGTTTTGATAAATTATGGTGTTGTTATTTAATCTAATGATAGTGTTCTTAAGTCATCAAGGCAATAGATATTAGAAGGATAACAATATCAAAAATAAAAAATAAAAGACAGTTCTGCCGACAAAAACATTGATGCCTTGTGTAATATAGAACTAGATAATGGGTTTATCTTTGTGTCCATGCAGATAAAAAGTGTCAATGGACCCTTCCACTAGACCAAAACTCTAAAGTCATGATCAATATTGATTGTTATAACTTTATGTTCTTAACATTGCCGCTACAGGTTGAATGCTCTTTACATAGGCTAAAACCTGGACATACAGAGATATCTTTTTTTTTTAATCCCCTTTAAAAATTTGTGGACTCACATAGAGTTATCATTTTTTTTAAATCCACTTTAAAACATCGTAGCAGTAAAACCTAGGTTTATTTTGATACCATGTCAAAGAACAACCCTTCCACCATCCCAAAACTTCGAAGTAATAATAAGGGTTGAAGGTTGTAATTTATACTCTAGCAAAGAGAAGATAAATTTTGACGGAGTCCTGAATACAAAAAAAAAACCTAAAATAACAATAGGAACAAGAATAATACCTTGTCAACCACAGCAAATGCTGCTTGAGCTGGTGACTTGTCCTCATAAGGTATTCTTCCTGTTACCATCTCCCATAAAACTAATCCAAAACTATAGACATCAACCTTTCGACCATATGGTTTATGCTTAATCATTTCGGGCGCCATCCAACGCAACGTTCCAGTATCTTCTGTTAATGCATCACAATGTACCTCCTCACAAGCTATCCCAAAGTCAGCAATCTTTACATAAAACTCATCATCAAATAGAACGTTTTCAGGTTTCAGGTCACAGTGAATAATCCCTTGGGAATGAATATATTCCATACCACGGCCAATGTCTAGAGCAATCGAAACCAGTTTCTCCATTGAAAGGGTTTTGTGCTCAAGTTTGTGAAGGAACGCTCTTAGAGAACCTCCGGAGAGATATTCGGTAACAATGAAAAATACCGGTGGATTTCTACATGCTGCCGCCAGCTGCATTATATACATAGAGAATTACGTAAAGTTGTATATCTTTTACTAGTTAATTGTGAAACTTATATGAATGAGAACTATTCTAGTTAATGAAGAACATGTGTTGGGGTTGAACACACAACCCTTGTCCTTCCGGATCTTGTGCCGAAAGTAGGCAAGCAGGAAATCACAGCAAATAAAAGAAAAAACTTGCAGGAAAGAATAATAAAACCAGAGAACACCAGATTTAATGAGGTTTGGCAAACGTGCCTACTTCCTCAGGAGCCACACTATAAAAACTTGGTTAATTGAAGAAGATTACAATGCCCACAAATAGATTTTTATCTCTCTAAGATCTCTCTGATAGAATCTTCTCAAAACCCTCTTTTTCTATGTTGCTTTTAACCCTAAAATCGTTTAGGTATATATAGCATCCTGGCCCAAATCAGCTTCCCAAACGAATCAGGAAACTGGAAAAACCGATTCCGGTCGACCGGACCATGGGTGTCGATCGACCGGCCAGAACACACTAATTTACAGGGTTTTTGTGCATGTTGTCGGTCGATTGGATCAAGGCCCTCAGTCGACAGGCCAGAGCGCTGTTTCCAGCCTCGTTTCCTGCAGTCGCTTCGGTCGACCTGATCTTCTCCGTCGGTCGATCGACCTGAGATTTTTCAACCTCGCAGAATTGTTTCAGGTTTCGTTCTTCACACGACCAAAACCAACAATCTCCCACTTGGAGACGAAACCGCCTTCAACGAGCTCTCCCGAACTCCCGCTATCTTCGGTAGCATCTTCTCCTACTCGAAAAATTTATTCTTCAATCAATATCATCTCGGCGATCCCGCCGATCCTCCTGGTGTGGCTCCCCCTTCGCCTTCATCTTCTACACATGAAAGCCAACTGAAGTTACGCACAACTCTAGTTTGTCGATAGTCACTGTTTTCGTCAACATATTCGCAGGATTTTGGCTCTCTAAAATCTTCTCCAATTGTAACTTGCCGTCCACAATCTGCGAGCGTATTAAGTGGTAATGTACGTTGATGTGCTTCGTTCTGACATGATATACTAGATTCTTGGTAATGTATATAACACTCTGGCTATCACAATAAAGAACGTTGTTCCCCTGCTTCAAACCCAACTCTTCTAGACACCTGGTCAACCAAATCATCTTCTTGCTGGCTACAGTCACTGCGATATACTCTGCCTCAGTCGTGGACAATGTTACTATCTTCTGCAAACGTGAGACTCAGCTCACTACTATCGACGCCAAAGTATAAACATACCCCATAGTGCTTCATCTTATATCATGATCATCGACAAAATCTGTATTCACGTATCCCCATAGTACCAACTCTTTCCTCCTGAAACACAATGGCATATCTGTAGTCTCTCTCAAGTAATGTAATATCCATTTCACGGACTCCCAATGCTGCTTTTCTGGATTGCTTGCAAACCTGCTAACAACTCTAACTACATGGGCCATATCCGGCCTTGTGCAAACTATCGCGTACATAAGGCTACCAATGACTGATGAGTATGACACTCTGCTCATGTACTCATTTTCTGCATCTGTCTTGGATGATTTCTCATCAGATAGCTTGAATTGACTTCCAAGCGGCATGCCGACGGGCTTAGCATTCTCCATGTTGAATCTCTAAATTACTTTCTCGATGTATTCAAATTGACTCAACTTTAACGCCCCTTCAGCTTCATCTCTACTGATTCGCATCCTAAGAATTTGCTTCACTGCACCCAGATCACTCATAGCAAATTCCTTCGCTAATTGCTTCTTTAATTTGTTTATCTCCTCTAAACACGGTCCTGCAACTAACATGTCATCAGCATACAATTATAACACAATATAGCTGGACTCGAATCTTTGAAATAGTAACAATGATCTGAATTGCATCTTCCATAGCCATTGCTCTGCATGAAGTTGTCGAACTTTTTGTACCACTGTCTCGGAGCCTGTTTAAATCCGTACAAGCTCTTCTTGAGATTACACGTAATTTCTTTCTTTTCTTCTTCTATAAAATCAACATGTTGCTTCATGTAGATTTCTTCATCCTAGTCATCATGAAGAAAGGCAATCTTCACATCTAACTTCTCAAGGTAGAAATTTTCTGTAGCTACTAAGCTCAACATCACTCTAATGGTTGTAAGCTTCACATCGGGGGAAATTATCTCCATATAATCAACTCCTTCCTGCTGTCGGAACCCCTTCACGACTAATCTGGCCCTATACCTCTTGCTTCCATCACTCTCCTACTTGACCAGATAGACTTATTTGTTATATAAGGCTTTCTTCTATGCAGGTAGCTGGGCTAACTCCTATCTCTCATTAGTGTGTAGAGAATCTATCTCTTTTTGCATCGCATGCTCCCACTGCTGAGATTCACTCACTTGCATAGCATCCTTATAGCACTCTGGTTCTCCGCTATCTGTCAAAAGCAAATAATCTAGTGATGAAAGATATCTGGAATTCGATTTGGGTACCCTGGATGACCTCGTAAGCTACTCTCCCTAGGTAGTCGTCTCTGCACCTAAAGTCTCCTCCGTTCTTCGGTCAGAACTGATGTCATCGCCCCAATCTGAAAGTTTCTCCAAATCCTTATACTCGGATCCACCTATATCTGTAGTACTGTTCCCACTGCTTTGGCTATCCTTAGCATTGTCCCTGTCCTTGTATATCACCTCCTCATTGAATACGACGTCTCTGCTCCTGATGATCTTCCTGTTATTCTCATCCCACAAACGATACCCGAACTCATCAATGTCGTATCTAATGAATGTACACTTCTGTTACTTAGCTTCTAGCTTGTCCCTGACATGGACACTGATATGAATATATGTCACACAGCCAAATACTCGTAAATATGAGAGATTAACCTTCTTGTCACTCTGAACCTCTTCTAGAATCTCGAAATCTAATGGCACTGATAGTCCATGATCAATCAAGTAAGCTGCTGTATGCACTGCATCTGCCCAAAATGTCTTGGGTAGACCTGCATGTAGACACATGCACCTCGTACGCTCCGTTAATATCATGTTCATCCTTTCTGCAACACCGTTCTGTTGCAGCGTTCCTAGAGCAGGCCTCTCCAAACGAATTCTATTTAGAGAACAAAACCACTTGAACTCCTCCAGCTCGTATTCTTCACCGTTGTCTGATCCCAGACACTTCACCTTCAGATCTGTCTCATTCTTCACCATGGCTTTCCGCTTCTTAAAGATCCCAAACACCTCTGACTTGTGCTTTATGAAGTATACCCACACATTCCTCGAGTGATCGTCGATAAAGGTGACATAGTACGCTGAACCGCCAAGAGAAGACACGCTAGCTGGACCCCATACGCCTGTATGAACAAGCTCTAGCTTCTGAGCTTTAGGTAATCTTTCACTTTTTTCAAAGCTAACCCTCTTCTGCTTCCCGTAGATACAATCCTCGTAAACACCAACTTCTACTGAATCGATACTGGTTAGCTTTCCTGTGAGTGTATAATCTTTATTCCCTTCTCACTCATGTGTCCCACCCTATTGTGCCACAGATCTGCACTCTCCTTGTCAGCTACAACTGTAAGGGTGTCACTCACATGTAAAGTGAGGTTGAGCGTTCCTGTTTTGTTACCTCGGGCAACCACCATAGTATCGTCAGAGTTTTTCCATGAATTCTCGGTGAATGTTGAAACATAGCCTTCTACTCCAAGCTAGCCAACCAAAACAAGATTCCTTTTTAGCTTCGGTACGTGTCTGCTATTCTTCAGATTCCACTTAGAGCCCTTCATCTGAATCTGCATGTCACCTCTTCTAACAATACTGCTAGGTTCGTTATCCCCTAAGTACACTTTCTCAAAGTTTCCTATTACATAGTTCTGAAGAAGCTTCCTATTAGCAGTGGCGTGGAATGAGGCTTCTGAGTATATAACCCAAGAATCAGAATCGCTATCCATAGCAAGGATCAAGGCATCTTGCACGATGTGAGTCTCCTACTCGTTCGCATCCTTCTTTGGCACTTTACAGACTGAATACATATAGCCCTCTTGGCTGCAATTCTAACAATTCCCTTTGATAGACCTAACATTCGAGTTCGACCTCTTCTTCTTTAACTTTAACCGATTCCTGTTCTGGTTACCCTTCTTCTGGCTTCGGCCTCTCTGTTTGAGATTTAGGGTTGAACTTGAACCTTCTGATTCGAACGATTTCCTTCTAACCTCCTCGGATATAATTATGCTAACAACCTCGTCCAGCTTCAACTTCTTCTTCCCCGCCGAGTTGCTAATTACGGTCACGCAACCTGTCTAACAATCCAGCAACTACGATAGAATTAATAGGGCCTGCACTTCGTCATAAAACGTGATGTAAACGGAGATAAGTTGATCAACAATCATGTTGAACTCACTGAGGTGCATCATGAAGAAGCATCCTTCTGTCATATTGAGGTTGAAGAGCGTTTTCACGAGATGCACCTTGTTTGCGGCCGACAATTGTTTGTACATCTTTGCGAGCGCTTATATAATCCCCACCGTCGTCTTCTTCTTCAATATATTATGGGTGATCGATTTAGCGAGCGACAACCGGATTTGCCCTAAAGCCTTCCTATCTTGATGTTGAATAGCGTCTTGATGAGATGCACCTTATTTGCGGCTGACGGTTGCTCGTACATCTTCGCGAGCGCTTCCATAAGCTCCACCGTCGTCTTCTCCTTCAAAATATTATGGGTGACTGATTTAGTGAGCGATAATCGGATCTACCCTAGAGCCTTCTGATCCAGTATTTTCCAGTCCTCGTTTGATTCCTCTTTCTTTTTTCCCTTAGCCATGCCCATCAACGGATGGTAAAGATCCTTCTGGTACAGATAGTTCTCCATCTGTGACTTCTAGTAGGCAAAGTGTGATCCATCAAACTTCTGGATCTTTGATTTTCTTTCCTCTGCCATGTCTCTCGCACAAATTTTCTACCCGATGTGCTCTGATACCAATTGTTGGGGATTCGAATCATACAATCGAACCCGTACCCTTTCGGATTGTGTCGAAAGTAGACAAACAGGAAATCACAGCAAATAAAAGAAAAACTTGCATGAAAGATTAAACAAAACCAGAGAACATCAGATTTAACGAGGTTCGACAAATGTGCCTACATCCTCGAGAGCCACACAACAAAAACTAGATTAATTGAAGAAGATTACAATACCCACAAATAGGTTTTTATCTCTCTAAGATCTCTCTGAAAGAATTCTCTCAAAACCCTCTTATTCTATGTTGCTTTTAACCCTAAAATCATTTAGGTATATATAGCATCCTGGCCCAAAACAGTTTCCCAAACGAATTAGGAAACTAAAAAACCCGATTCCGGTCGACCGGACCATGGGTGTCGGTCGACCGGCCAGAACCCATTATTTTACAGGGTTTTCGTGCATGTTATCGGTCGAACGGATCAAGGCCCTCGGTCGACCGGCCAGAGCACTGTTTCCAGCCTCGTTTCCTATAGTCGCTTCGGTCGACCGGATCTCCTCCGTCGGTCGACCGACCCGAGATTTTTCAGCCTCGCAGAATTGTTTCAGGTTTCGTTCTTCACACGACCAAAACCAACAACATGTAAAAAAAAAAAATAATCAATAGCTTATTAATTAATAGGAATTTAATTCCTTATCATCAATAAACATAATCTCTAAACTAAGATTTATAGGAGAAGATTATTCTTTTCATATCTCACTGGTTATGTAAACTGTGATCAACAAAGATTACAAGCAAAACTTTTGAAAGCAATAACAATGTAGCATTCATAGTCTTTGCAAAGTAGAGAGAAGGAAATCATGATGTGAAAATGTACTACATATCATGGGCACTTAATTAATATTTTGTCGTATGAGAGGGTAAGCATAACTGAAATAAGTTAGTTATTTTTTTGAAAAAAGGTTTGGGATTAATTTTTCATGAACACATCAGGTTGTAGTTGCAAATGTTAATTCTGTATACAATAAGAGTTCATAAAAAGTTCTTTCCTTAAAGATTGGCTCTTAAGAATTAGGAAAATTATTAATTTGTCTTACAATGCACAGAAGTAAGGGTTAATATCCTAGATGTGGATACTATCAATTGGTATTTGTTCTCAAATTAAAAATCCATACCGTGGGATGTGCTGTAGAACACATGGAGTACCTAAAACAATATCTTGAATGATTTCTTTGTGTTTTTTATCATATATCAAGGAACAAAAGATTAAGCAACTTCATGAAAATTCTGAAATATTGATTTTCATGACTTAAGACATGGGTAAAACATATTGAAATTCTTTGAAATTTTATTTCTAGATAGCTGATGTATACTAGATCTCATTCCACCGTACAGATTTTCAATTTGAAATCCGGATTCTTGATTGAATTGATAGTAATCACATTTTGGATATTATAAATAGTATTATAGCTCAACTCTGGCAATATTGAATTGACACATTATAACAAAACATCCAGTTCAGTGCAAATTTAGAGAATAATCAGAAAAACGAAGACATTCTCCAAAATAGAAGTTACAAATACAGAGCAAGAGTACCTTTATCACGTTACGATGGCACAAACGAGATAAGAAGTTCACTTCTCTAGTAAACTGCTGCTCCAATTGAGCAGCCATTGGGCCATTTTCATCATCATCAGGTTGCCTAACAATTTTAACTGCAACAGGCTTCTCTTTATAAACTCCATGATATAATCGACTGTGAGCTCCAGAGGCAAATCTGAGTCCAAGATACAGCTTCGAAAGATCAACCATCCACTCCTCAGTAGTGTCCAACGCACTAACTCTTGTTACTCTTCCAACTCCATCATCAAAATACCTCATCCAAGATTTCTCCTTTTGATGTTTAACTTTAACCTTGTTGGGTATTTTCATAGATGAGAAATGCTGAAGAGGGCTTGTTTGTGGAGATGTGGAATTTATAACCTCATGGTCTTGGAGTTCTTTAGAGAGCAATTTGAGGAATGATTTTCTTTTAGATCTTGGTCTTGCAGGAGGAGGAGTTGAGAATGTCCTTTTGATAGAAGATTTAGCTTCTTTGAATGTATCTCGGTCTAGTTGAGCCCTCACTGAAGTACTAGAAACCGAAAGAGAAGCATAGGAACTTATCAAAGAATCTGGAAGTGAAGATCTTGGTGTTCGCTTTAGCGGCGGGAGGCTTGAAGTTCGTACAATTGAGCTTTTTGTGTTCGATTTAGGCACATGATCACAATCAGTCGGTGATGAGATTGGTGCTAAGGTTGAATAATTTGGTATAGAACTCTTTGGCTTTAAGCCTAGACTTCGGTCAATTGAATGAGAACCATGGGAACTTATTAAAGAGTCTAAAACTAAACATCTTGGTTTTACTTCTTGATTAATAGCATATTTGGGAGCCACCTTGGCTAAAGGTGGAAGACTAGAAGTTCGTGCAATTGAGCTCTTTGTGTTTGATTTTGCTACATGATCACGATTAGTTAGTGATAGTATTGGTACTAAGTTTGAAGAATTTAGTATAGAACTCTTTGGCTTCAAGTTTAGACTTTGATCAACTGAATGAGAACAATAGGAACTTGTCAAAAAGTCTGTAAGTGAAGATCTTGTTGTTTGATTTAATTGTGGGAGACTAGAAGTTCGTGCAATTGAGCTCTTTGTGTTTGATTTAGCTACACGATCATGATCAGTTCGTAATGAGATTGGTGCTAAGTTTGAAGAATTTGGCATAGATATCTTTGGCTTCAAGTCTAAACTGTGATCAACTGAAAGAGAACCATAGGAAGTTTTTAAAGAGTCTGAAAGTAAAGATCTTGGTGTTAGTTCTTGATCAATATCATATTCGGAGGGCAATTTGGCCAATGGAGGGAGACTAGAAGTTCGTGCAATTGAACTCTTTGTGTTTGATTTTGGTAATGAGATCGATGCTAAATTTGAAGGGTTTGGTATAGTACTCTTTGACTTCAAGTCTAGACTTTGATCAGATTTGACAGAGAGAGGAACAGTGGTTAATCTTGAAGAATCTATAAGATGACATACTGTGTGAGAAAACTTTGCTCTTCTAACCCAAGAATTACTCTCGTCCTCCATCTTTCCAAACTTAGTTAAATTTAATTATGAATTCAATTGAAATCAATCACTTCAACTATGAAGTAGAAACTTGATTCATCTAAGAAAATCCTACCAAAAAAACCTCTTTATTTTACCTCAAATAACATCATGAACAATTGCTTTGAATGCCCAAAACCAATTGAACTCCTCAATAGAGAACCTACAACAAAATAAATTATTTTGAAAAAACAAAAGCCAAGCCATTACAAACCCATCTCTAAAACCATGCCAATGACACGAAAATCACATAAAATCTCTTCTTTTGACCAAACTCATCTCTTCTTTCCATTCACTAACACAAAGATCATATTAAAATCTCTTTTCGTCACAAAATTAAGTGGAATGATTGTACGCAATCAATGGGTATGAGGCCTTTTCTAATTTTAAGCAATGATAATCTAATAAAAACAAGCAGAAAACAATAAAAATGGTACCTTTAAGATCAATGGAAAAAGGGAATTAACTGATTAAGATTGTATCGTCTTTGTATCTTTCTATTTTTGGGAGCTAATATTGATTGAGTACTGACCGTTAGTTGGTAATGATTCTATATATACTTCTGTTGGATTGGGTTTTTGACCTTTGCTTGTTAAAGTTACACTGCTTTTCTCTCACCGTACTCTTGTTGGGTTGTAGCATGTGGGGTTAGTTGGGTCCCTGAAATTTTGGTAGTTTGGATAATATTTTATAATTGGATTCTTGGAGAATGTGTTCGGAACAAGATTTGGCTTTTAAAATTTATCGTTTGTACTATAAAATTTACTAGCGTGAACACCATGTAAAGCATAACATATTTTTTTTTCACTACAGTAATCCCGGTTATAACTGTTACAGTAAATTTTTGAATTTTTTGAATTGCTATAGTATCCTGTCTCTGCTACAGCATCCCCCCGTGTGCTACAATATTTTTAAAAAAACACAGTGTCCATTTTCATGTTTACTACAATAATAATGCTACAGTAAATGCTACTGTAGTATTTACTGTAGTATGAATAGTGAATCTTGGGTTCTCCCATTTGTATAGAGGAGTAGATCCATAAAGTCTTTAGCTTGAGCTCTAATTGCTGCCATGATGATCTGAGCTTTGAAGTAATTTATACATAAAGGACTATTTTCGCCTCGTGCTTCTCTCTATGGCAACGTGTCAACATCGTATTTAACGCTTGGCCGGTGCCATCAGGACTCTAACACTGATAGCCTTTATGACTCATCGGACCACGTGGGGCACCGCCATACCGGCACTCACTTCTTATTTAATGTTGAAGTGATCCTCCCCGCAATCACTGGTCGACACCTGTAAAGCAAGTGCTGACGTGGCCGCTGGCCCATACTTCTCCACCGCCTCTTAGTGCTCGGCCGAAGTGACCAGTCTGTCCTTACCACTTTAGTATAAATACAAGTACTATTTCAACTTGGACTGGATCCATAATTCTGGATTTTAATCCAAATTCTCTAAAATTTGATTTGCACACACACAAGAACTCTTAAAGTTCTTATTGACCTCATTCATGTTCATCAGCTAACTTGATCGTCGGAGGTAAACAGGGGAATCAAACCCCATCCTCTTACGATTTTCTACATGTGTAGATTTTTCAGATACCAAGCTTAAGAACCAGATATAAAGTTAGGGGTGAGAAAGCGGCCCCCTCATCAATCCTTAACAAATTCATCCTAACACGGATACATATTGACTGTATGATCACTTAACATCAACAGTTTGCCGCCCACCGTCGGGCTTCCTTTCTTTTTTGAGAAAACATGTTAGGTTCTGAATAAGGGTCCAACCAGTCTCACCCTGTAAAACGATACCAGAGCTACGTTACTCGAGCCCACCTTGAGAAAACTACTTACATGCTCTCTCAGTCTTTCAAAGAGCAATTTGTCGTCTTTACTGACGAACTTCTTAGTTAGCTTCCACAGGCGCAATGAACTACCTCAGCTCACCCTCCACCCTCTGGAGAACAGCGGTCTGGGACTCATACCCCTACTGGAGCTCAGCGAGTAGTCCAGCCTCGGACTCCTCAGGCTGCTGCCAAACAAAGAGGGAATTGCATTGAACACGCATCCCCACCATAACATTGACCAGCTCGTGCTGACGAGTCTCGCTGACATCATTTTCGTCACCAAGAGGCCTATGATGATAGCCAAGGCCCAGGCCACCTTGTGGATCGTGCCAGGAGAGTGGTCTCTAAGACTCTCCTCCATCGTCGCGCCTCTCCTGCCCCCTCTATTACCTTTGGGGCCTCCAGATACGCCATCGGGGGAACACCCCTCTCTCAAACGACCTTATACATGCCCCACGTAAGAAGTTCAAGATGACTCATGTAGAGAAATACAAAGGCAAGGGAGACCCTTCCAAGCATGTTCAGAATTACTATGATATGATGAGCATGCTCCAAGCATCGGAAGCTATCATCTATTGAGGCTTTCCTATCACTCTTTCAGGGAGTGCCAAGCTCTAGTGGAATGCTCTTGAGAAGAAGTCCATTAGTAGTTTTCAACAGCTCAGCTGGAAGTTCATCCATCACTTCCTGGCTAATACCAAACAAAAATTACCCTCTCATGTGTTGATTTAGATGAGACAAGGGCCCGTAGAGAGCCTCCAAGCCTACTTCAAAATATTTCAAATAAAGAGGTTGGAGGTCAACGACCCAGGGAGTGCGGTCGCCATGTCTGCACTCGTCACTGGCCTGTATAGCAATGAATTAGTCGACTCGCTTACCAAGAAGTCGGTCGCCAACTATAAGTAGTTGATGGCCAAGGCTCATGGGTATATGGACATGGAGGATGCCCATGCCTACAAGGCACCATCCAGAGCCACAAAGACCTTCGCAGCCATAACCTTAGAAGAACTAGCTATCTCTACCACCCCGTCGACTCTAGCGATAATTCTGGCAGTGGCACCAATACCAGAGTCGGACAGGAGCCCCCCTGTGAGATGAAAGTGGCCAAGAGACCGCCCAAGAGTCGACTCTCGTTCCAATCAGTCCAATAGGAGGGACCGACATAGAGACCAGCCGCCAAGGCCAGCCCTTATAGTCCTCAACACATCCCTTGCATCGGCTCTCACTATGGTTCAGAAGGAGGGTCACCTTAAGGAGCTTGCTCCTAAGATGACGTTAAATCCCAAGAACCACAACATGAGGTAATTTTGCCATTACCACAAGGATCACGACCATCTCACCAATGATTATCATATCTTTAAGAGGGATATTGAGGATCTGATTAAGAGGGGGTACCTGAAGAACCTCATCTCTCGACGGGATTGAAGGGAAGATGCACCCAAGTAGGATAGAAGATCCCACTCGCGGTCACCTCATCCTCGACCGCGCCAAGATAGCCGACCCCCGGAGCCCAGCCACAAGGGGGTCATCAACATGATCAGTGGTAGTCCTACTGCTGGAGGGTCATCCAACAACTCTCGAAAAAGATATGCCAAGAGGGAGTTGCGGGTCGACCAAGTTGACAAGAGGACGAACACAGAGGAGCCCATGTCTTTTGGGGATGCCGATCTGCAAGGTGTTGAGAAACCTCATGATGACCCCATCATCATAACCGTATCAATTGATAGCTATCAAGTGAAGCAAATTATGGTCGACACAGGGACCTCAGTAGACGTCCTCTATGTCGACACCATTAACTAGATGGGCATCAACAAATCCAGTCTGCTCCGTTGTAGAGGACCCCTATCGAATTCACCAGCCACTCTCTTCTGACCGAAGGGATGATCACTCTCCCACTATCCCCTTAACAGTGGGAGAGTACCCTAGGAAATCCACTGTCTAAGTCTAGTTCATGGTGATGGATCTAAAATTAGCCCACAATGTCATCCTAGGCCGAACTGCCTTTCATCTTTTACGGGCCATCCCATCGACCTACTACCAGATGGTCAAGTTCCTAACTCTTAATGGAGTCGGAGTCGCCAGAAGAAATCAGTGAAAGACCAGGTCCTACTACCTGCTCTCGACCAAGGGTAAAGGCGTGCAAGACGCCATGCCCATTAAGAAAGTCTGCCTCTAGTTAGAGAAAACAATGGAGTTGCAGAGGACTACACTAGTGGAAGAGCTTCAAGAGAAACCAATCGATTGAAGAGGACTGAAGACGGTGAATATTAGATCTAGTCTATTCGAGCCCTTGTGAAGAGCCTTGACAGAGTTCCTACAGGAAAACGCTGACATGTTCGCCTAGGGACCTTGTAGGCGTCAAAAATTACCTATAGGTTTCCGTACGTAGCTTGAGATGAAGAGAAGATGATGAATACCATTATCTGAGTCAAATGGGATTATTCGATACTGTAAAGATGCAAGCAAATGCATGAAGCAAGTTGACGAAATCAACGGAACGTGCGAAATGATGAAACGACGGACAAAACAAACCCGTGTTTTGTACCTGTGGTGCGAAACACCATTGGTGTTTTGCACGTGTGGTGAGAAACACCATTGGTGTTTCGCACCTGTTAGAACTCTCGAGACGCGTTATCGACTATTTTGATCTGTTTTGACGGTTCCTAAACCTCCCTAACTACCTTAAGGCTATCCCTAAATATGGTTAAGTGATTTTAACTGAGGATAAGATTTAATCATTAGTTCTTATCCAAAAACACAACATTTGGAGGCTATAAATACAAGCCTAGGGCCCCTATACATGAGCAATCAGGAATTTGGAGCTGTCGGTGAAGCCCTGTCATTTTGAACAGCAGAGGAGCATGAATTTCAGAGAGGAGGAAGAGAGATCTATGAGTTTTTTAGCACAAAGAGGAGGAGTTCGACAGATCTGCGGCCTCTCCAGCACCTATTACCTGCTTCCCTTGAGATAAAACTTTGATTTGATCTCGAGAAGAGTGTTTGCCTCACATTGCTGAGTCATTCACTTCAATTTCTTGTTTCCTTTGTGTTATAGGGTATTCCCTATTTCTTACAAACATGTTATCCTGAGAACAAACTCAGTTGAGCCAGCTTCATTCCCCAAAGACGACTCGAAAGGCGGACTCTGTCGAGCAAAATATTACTACTCAGCGATCAGCCGACACTTCCCCTGAGGGTGACTCAGAACATTACTTCTTAGCATTATTTTACTATTTATGATTATCATATTGACTCCACATCGCCTGCTGAAAAGCCTCGATGGCTGCAGGATCCTCATACCACAGAAGTGACTCCACGTCACTCGTTGACAAACCTCGACTGCTGCAGGATCCCCATACCACAGAAGTGACTCCACATCACTCGCCGACAAGCCTCGATGGTTGCAGGATCCTCATACCATAGAAGTGACTCCACGTCACTCGCTGACAAGCCTCGACGGCTGCTGATTCCCCATGTCACTGAAGTGATCTCCCATAAACCTCGACTGCTGCAGGATCCCCATACCACAGAAGTGACTCCACATCACTCGCCGACAAGCCTCGATGGTTGCAGGATCCTCATACCATAGAAGTGACTCCACGTCACTCGCTGACAAGCCTCGACGGCTGCTGATTCCCCATGTCACTGAAGTGATCTCCCATCACTCACCAA